GGGGGACTCCCTAATATCAAAGGGCGGGGTCCTCGGCGGAAATTATGAAAATGACCCCTAAGAGGGACCTGTATTTGGAGATGATGGGCGTGGCAGTGCTGAAATTTCATCCCTAAAAGGGACCAATAATCTCGTCTATCAAGGAGTGTTAAGTGACAAGACGTGAAATTGATTAAAATAAAACCAATCATCTTATTAGCAGCTGCGGTTTTTGATCTCATAATGACGGCTTAGGGACGTCATATACCCTAAAAGGGACCACAAAACTCAGTTGGTGGGAATACTCGTCATTTTCACCCTAAGCGGGACCAAAATACCGATTTCAAACCCTAAAAGGGACTCCGAGGACCCCCGCCCTTTGGTATTACGGAGTCCCCCCCGGGTGTAAACCGCAGCCCTTGATGGATTGATATCATCCTAGTGATACCGCGCTGTGGATAGGTCCGTTTTTGGTCGAACGTCAATAACCTGTAGAGTCTGTCTTTTGGTCGAGGGTCGAGGGTCGAGAGTCGAGAGTCGAGAGTCGAGGGTAGTTGGTCGAGGGTCGGGTTTTATATGTAAAGTTTGATCTCTTTCGCGATTATTCAGGAATGCAATTATGCTTTCTCAAAAGAGTTTGATTTTTTAAGTACTAGTTACAGAATACTGTACTCTAAACTCATAGTAATGATACTGAAATTGAACAGTCGGCGCTGCTTTATAAGCCAGTAAACATGTTGTTTTTCGAGAATACATTTCGGATTCATTCTACTTTATGCAGATATGCATAAATTATATGAATCAAAAGTATTCTGATTTTATTGACATTTTTGACGTTGTTCTGCTATGCACTATTGCATTATTCAGTGGATTATGACATGAGCTCTAGCGAAACGACACAATTTTACTGACTCGCAGTCGCAGCCAGTTATCAATGATAACAAGAAATCGTACGTCGAATTTCAGCCACCAAATGAGAAATTCTGCTAAATTTAGGGATAGTGAAAGAGTTAACATTGCCGCGGGGATGCATGCATGTATGGAGGCAATAACTTCACCGCATTCCATTGTGTACACAGCGCTATCAGTGGAGTTTCTGTCAAAATGTTATTCGAAACTATTTCCATTTTCTAAATCATCCTGGGTAAAAATGAAATTAAAAATTAAAGTTGAAATGACGGACTGAGTGAATTGATAATTAAAACTAGCTGATATGACGGTTGTTGATCGTGGGGGAAAACTGATAACTATTTATAAGTCTGGAACCCTAGTAATGCGAACACAACGAACATCGAAACAATAGAGTCACAGTGCAGAACAACTCACTACATTAATTTGATAAACTCTTTCACAATTGATCGAAAAGCACTAAATTCTAATCATAACACCTCAGTAACCCTGCATCTCATAGTCTCATCACTACAAACACGTTCAAGTGGATCGTAGCATGAGTATCAGGCTCTCTCTCCTTTCTCGCTTCCGGCCCAAACCCCTTCGAGAGAGCTTGATAAGTGGATCGCCACGATTTGATGCGTGTAGAATTGGACGTTTGTTGCTTAGCATCATAGTTAACTAACTATGTTAGCATACAGTAAATTATCTAAAATAGATGATTATACCACACCCCGTTGAAAGGAATCTGGGTCTGAAATCAGCACTGAACAATCTATATTATAAACTATAACAAAACACAGCAGGCTGAAATCAAATTGAAAACATCGGAGGGAACACTGATCGCCGCAGGGTGGATTGCCATCGAAGTTACATCATGTGTGAAGGGCAATA